AATTATATCAATAAATTTTTACAAAGAATTCAATAATGTTACATGAATTATTTATAACTTTGCAAACTTAAATTTAACTTGAACAAATAACAATCACATCAAAATGCATGTCTAATTATTATTATCAAATATTTATAACATAAGTAAATTACAATTAGGTTGACAGTTACTTTTTTATAATTTATAGTTTAAGTACATCTCAACTGCCCCCTCCCTTTTTTCTAATTTTTTTTTTTTAAAAAAAAAAAAATTTCACGGGCCAGCGGGTTAATCACTGCCCGTGAAGGTGCAACCCTCGAAACCCGCGGGTTACACCTCCTTGACTTGTGAACCGTCCAGTCGGGTCAGGGTCGGCCCACAATCCCGGGTCGATTCGGGTCGATTTTCACGGGTCTGGTCGGCTCGTCCGTCTTAACACCTCTAGATACAACATCTACAATAATAACATACTATTCATTCTCTTCAAAAAGATAAGGATATTGTACTTGAATTCATCAGCTATAGTTAAATGATCTAAAACAACTAATAAAATAAAATGAATACAAATATCAAATAAGATAATATTTTCTATAACTTTTTGTGAATCATTCAATACTTCTACCACAATCAAATTTTCTAATAATGTTGATTAAAGCCATAAAAATATTTGAACTATTATGAGGAAATTCAATTACTTTAAAGCAATATTTTTTGTACATTATCTACATTTCATCTAGGTAGTGTGGCTATGTAACCTTTATTATTATTATTATTATTATCGGACCAAAAGTCACACGTAAATGATAAAACACTAGTATATTTATTTAAATCGCTTACTATCCAAACCATTTTTTTAGGGAGCCGCTATTTACATTCACCATTGTTATAAATCTATCCACTCTTTATATATTCCTATTAAAATTTCAATTCCAATGTAACCTTCCATGAAATTTTTGCCAAACTTTAACATGAGATGGGATAAAACATTATAGAAGTTCCTTTACCTGTAAACTCACTCGTCTTACATGACCATCGAGAACCAGTTAAAGTATGACAAACCATTGTGGCAACAGAAATTCTTGTTTTCGACATTTTATCTTTGATTATAGAAGGACATTAGAAACTTTATTATAATCAATTGGTAATAAAAGCAATCACATATGTACGATGCATGTCACCACTAGAACAAGCTAGATGATTATCTGGTCAGTTGCCCATAACAACCGTGATTAATTATATATGATTTCTTTGTTAAGCGAATTGATTTGTTGCTATTAGTCTGGCTGCCATGCAACTTGTATATGTAATTTGATACTCAATAAATCTCGGAAAATGATATTAAATCGGTTTTTTAGTTGGATTATACTTCATAGGTCTTGGTCAATGAGTGAAGTGAAATAACGACACCACAATCGAACTAAACTTATCACGTAATCCACTTGAACCATTTAAAGCAGCCTAATTATATTAGGGTTGCTCATGGCCCAACCCAAACTTGAATGACTCTTATAGGTTGCTAGCCCACTACATATTCCTTATTGGGCCCTATTTTTTCTCTAACCTAAAGCCCATCCTATTTTCTTATATATCATCTGCCTATCACTATTGCATAGTGGGTGAAAATATTGGGCAGCCGTTTCGGTGAGAGGAAAGAAACGATTTCTTGCCTTGGCTTTGTTCCCCTCTCTTGGAAGATTTGTTTTTGTCTTCTTGCTTAGCCTTTGTAGCTAATATCTCTTGGCTGTAATCTTTTCACCTCCAAGTCCTTTGTAGGCAAGTCTCTTTGTTAGAGCAACCGGTTGGGAAGCTGTCGATTTGTGGGTATGTTGGTTGATTGTGGTGTCGATTGATTGGTTAACTAAGCCCGGATTATTTGTTGTGTTTTGGAGCCCAAAAACTCACATATGGTATCAGAGCTGTTGGTATAAATCCCAGTAAGAATCAGCCAAGAATAGGAGGCGGGCTCATGAAAGAGGAGCTCACAGCCCTTTCATCAAATCCGGAGCTATCTTGGAGCAATAGAAGGAAATAACCAACAAATAGTTTCAGAGCATTTGGTGGTGATTATTTCTGGTGAAGGCAACTCCAAAACCGGTTGAAGAAAGCTGTTAAAATTTGTACAGATTTTTTCTTCGACAAAATCGCACCTGCAATCCAATTTTTGGGCCAAACTAGTGGCCATTTGAAGAATCCAACACCACAGGAGGCTTCTGCAGGTGGAGGAGCTCCAGGGTGGCAGGAGCGTGTGGACGGGGACGGCTCGTAAAACCTACACGTAGAGGGTTTGAGCCGTGCGCGAGGGCGCATGGCTGATTTTCGAGCGAAACTTTCTTCAAGTAGTTTGTTTATTTTGATTTCTTGAACGTACTAATATTTTTTTTTTTCGTGTTTCAGGTTACGCAGGAAAAATTGGACGATTTTGCCCTTGGTGGGTCGACAGTCACAAGTGCTATACATTTACTGAATTACTTTAGGCCACAAATTGCGGCCCTAAAGCAGTAAATTCGCATCTTTCATAATTTACGGATTCAGATAGGTCCACTCTGATAAATTGACTTATCCTTTTTAAATTTCAGCATTAGCGCGTCATCGTGTGGGGTGACATTAAGATTGGAGTTACCGTGAAGGGGTAACCATTACTTGTGCTAAAAATTTAGGAATTAACTGCTCTATTTGAAGTGTTGGTTTTAACTGCAAGTTGGTAATTACTTTTGTGATGTAATTGTTGATTAGTTTCTGCGTGAGATTGAATTCCTTGAGAATTTTGAATTTTTCGTTGATAGTTCTGTTTTTCAAAATGTCTTCACATTTCGAAATTGAAATTTTCAATGGGAAACGAGATTTTTCAATTTGGCAACAAAAGATGAAGGGTATTTTGGTTCAACAAAAGATTTCAAATGCCATAGATGGCAAATTTTCTAAAAAATTTTCAAACGCGCGAAAAGAAGAATATGATGAACTTGCATACATTTCAATTATTTTACACATGTTTGACACTGTTTTGAGAAATGTAGGAAAACTTGATTCTACCATTGAACTTTAGAAAAAGTTGGAAGATATATATTTGCTTAAGTTTACTCCAAATAAATTGTACTTGCTTGAAAGATTTTTCAATTTTAAAATGGATCCTTCAAA